AATAGTTTTACCAACGCTCTTATATGGTTGTGAAGCATGGGTGATGAATGTTGCAGCGAGGAGAAGGCTGGAGGCAGTGGAGATGTCATGTCTGAGGGCAATGTGTGGCATGAATATAATGCAGAGAATTCGTAGTTTGGAAGTTAGGAGGAGGTGCGGGATTGCCAAAACTGTTGTCCAGAGGGCTAAGGAAGGGTTGTTGAGGTGGTTCGGATATGTAGAGAGAATGGAGCGAAACAGAATGACTTCAAGAGTGTATCAGTCTGTAGTGGAAGGAAGGCGGGGTAGGGGTCGGCCTAGGAAAGGTTGGAGGGAGGGGGTAAAGGAGGTTTTGTGTGTGAGGGGCTTGGACTTCCAGCAGGCATGCGTGAGCGTGTTTGATAGGAGTGAATGGAGACAAATGGTTTTTAATACTTGACATGCTGTTGAAGTGTGAGCAAAGTAACATTTATGAAGGGATTCAGGGAAACCGACAGGCCGGACTTGAGTCCTGGAGATGGGAAGTACAGTGCTTGCACTCTGAAGGAGGGGTGTTAATGTTGCAGTTTAAAAACTGTAGTGTAATGCACCCTTCTGGCAAGGCAGTGATGGAGTGAATGATGGTGAAAGTTTTTCTTTTTCAGGCCACCCTGCCTTGGTGGGAATCGGCCAGTGTGCTAATAAAAAAAAGTAATAATAAAATACATACACAACATAGATGAGGGAATAAATAGCAATACATACGTATAAGCAAGTTTGCTGAAGGCACCAAAATAGGTCATCGGATTAATTTTGACAAGAACACTAGAGTGCTGCAGGGGTTGGAGAAGTGGCAGATGCAGTTTTATGTAGACAAGTGCAAAATTCTAAGCCTTGGAAAAGTAAATAACCATGGCATTTATAAACTAAATAATGATGTAGATCTTAATCGTTTTGAATGCAAAAAAGATTTAGGAGTTTTGGACAGCAGTTATCTAAAGCCAAGACAACAGTGCATATAAGTGTTTGCAATAAAGCAAATAGAATTCTTATATTCTATATATCACTGATTAAGCTTCATTTAGATTATGCTGCACATTTCTGGTCTTCATATTACAGAATGGGCATAAATATGATGGAAAATGTACAAAGAAGGATGACAAAATGGATCACATGTACAGTATCAGAAATCTTTCCTAAGAGGAAAGTGTCTTTCTAGAGTGCGCAATCTGCACTCAGACAGCATTGAATTAGGGAGAAGATGACAGGAAATTAGGAGGTGTGAGGTTTTCTACAAGTATTATCCAGAGGGCTGAGGAGGGATTGTTGTGGTAGTTTGGACATTTAGAGAGGTTGGAACAAAATAGAATGACTTGCAGAACATAGAAAACTGTAGTGGAAGGAAAGCGGGGTAGGGCTCAGCCTACTCAAGATTGGAGGGAGGGGGTAAGGGAGGCTTTGTGTGTGAGGGGCTTGGACTTCCAACAAGCATGCACATGCATGTGCATGTTAGATAGGAATGAGTGGAGACAAATGGTTTTTTGTGACTTGACATGCAGTTGGAGTGTGAGCAGAGTAACATTTACCTAGGGATTCAGGGAAATTGGCAGAGCAGACTTGAGTCCTGGAGGTGGAAAGTACATTGCCTGCACTCTGAAAGAAAGGTGTTGATGTTGCATTGTTTTAACTGTAATGTATGCAAGCCACTGGCAAGACAGTGATGGAGTGAATGATGATGAAAGTGTTTCTTCTTTTTCGTGTCACTCTGCCTTGGTGGGAAACGGCTGATGTATTAATAAAAATAAGTAAATGACTGAGGTGTATAAATGAGCAACAGGAATAAATAAAGGAGATGTAAATAATGTGCTAAAAGTATCTAACAAAGATAGGGCTTCCAGCAATAGGATCAAGTTGGAAAAATTTAGATTTAGAAAGGATATAGAAAAGCACTGGTTTGTGGATGAGTGGAACAAACTCCCGAGTAGCATCATTGAAGCTAAAACCTCATGTAGGTTTAAAAATAGGTTAGACAAGTACTGTGCATGAGTGGGTGTGAGTGAGTTTGACTGGGACCTGCCTAGCATGGGCCAGTAGGCCTGCTGCAGTCCTCCTTTTTTCTTATTTTTTAAGGTAGCTAGGGATCAAGTGATGGTAAATGTTATTCTTTTGGTTTCCCTCATTTAGTGGCAAACTCCTGGTATTAACACACTTACATATTATATTAGCAATAATAAAGACACATTAAACTTTATTGACATGTGTATTTTTTTTTTTTTTTTTTATTTATTAACAATTTGAGCACACATACAGAGGTACAAAAAAATACAGATAAGAGCAGCATGCCAAAGCCACTTATACTATGCATAGCATTACGGGCTGGCTTAAAATTAACTTAAGATTAACTAATACATAGCACAAATATCACACGTGAAAAAAAAAATTGAATAACAACTTGTTAAAAACAATTCTGCCTTAGACTAGCAAAACTGTGCATATATTCAATTTATTAATGCTTTTATATTGAGTTATCAACACTATATAACATATGAAGGCAATGCCTCCATTTACTGTACAGTATTTGAATTATGAAAATAATACTCAACCCTTTCAGGGTTTCCGACGTACTAGTACGGCTTACGCACCAGGGTTTTTGACGTACTAGTACGCCTAAATTCAAGCGCCCTCAAATCTAGTGAGAGAAAGCTGGTAGGCCTACATATGAAAGAATGGGCCTATGTGGTCAGTGTGCGCAGTATAAAAAAAATCCTGCAGCACACAGTGCGTAATGAGAAAAAAAAAAACTTTGACCGTGTTTTTGGTTTAAAACAGCTACTTTGCACTGTATTTTCGTATGGTATTTATAATGTTATTCTAGTTTTCCTGGTCTCATTTTATATTATCATTCTATATTACAGGAAATGAGACGATTTTGATTGGTTTTACAATGAAAAGTACCTTGAAATTGAGCTCAAAGTAGCAAAGTTCAAAAGTAAACAAATCATGCTACGCGTCCAATACACGTCAACTGGCGAGTCTAATATTCTTTCACAAGTCCGCTGATATTATTTATACCATTTCTACACTAAAGCACTAAACAGTAAATCTTCTATTTTTTTTTTTTCTGTGGGAATAAAAATTCAAAGTGGAAAGCAAAAGAATGTAAGAGGGGCGTGAGGACGTGACTAATGAACAGAGGAAATGTTATTTTAGTGCCAGGAATGTCTTTCTTGTTTATTCTGGACCCTATTTGGAAATTGGCATCTTTTGAAATTTGTGTGAAATTGGCAAAATTGCTAAATTCTGACCACTTTACTGGATAGTTGAAATCGGTAAATGGGTGATTTCTTGTACTCATTCGATAGAAAAAAAATGGAGTTCTAGCAAAATAGTTATGATTTTTGTCGACTAGTACACTGGAATTGGCCGAAAATAGGGCTCAAAGTGGGTAAAATCGCCTATGGGTAAACATCGTTGAGACTGCTAACTTCGCGAGAGCATAATTCTGTAAGTTTTCCATCAAATTTCATACTTTTGGTGTCATTATGATCGGGAAAAGATTCTCTATCTTTTCATAAGAAAAAATATTTTTTTTTTTTTGAAAATTTGGCGACCCTGAGAACAAGTCTGGGAGAGGGCCTGTCGACCCTGAAAGGGTTAATAGATAATTTAGAAATTACAAAATAAAAGTATGAATAGTGATTATTTTAACCCTTTCAGGGTCCAAGGCCCAAATCTGGAGTCACGCACCAGTGTCCAAGAATTTAAAAAAAAAAAATTTGTTATTTTTTCTTATGAAATCGTAGAGAATCTATTTGTGAAGGTAATAAAACAAAAAGTATGAAATTTGGTGGAAAATTGACGAAATTATGCTCTCGCGAATTTTGATGTGTCAGCGATATTTACGAATCGGCGATTTTCCCGACTTTGACTTCCCATTTTAGGCCAATTACATTATTCCAATCAACCAAATTCTTAGCTATTTCACTAGTATTACTTCTATTCTATCGATTGAGCAAAAGAAATCGCAAGTCAACTATTTTCAACTAAAAAATAAAGTGATCGAAATTGTTAATTTGGCCAATTTAACACAAAGTTAAAAATATTCCAATTTCAAAATAGGGTCCAGAATGAACAATGTAGGCTTTCCTGGCACTAAACTAACACTTCCTCTGTTCATTATTTATGTTTCGGGCTTTAAAAATAAATTCCATTTTGATTTTTTTATTCACATAATGAATTTTTATTCACCACCAAAAAATAGAAGATTTACTGTTATGCAATACTGTAATAATTGTATAAATATCATCACCATATTTGTGAATGTTATTAACCCCCCCAGCTGACGTGTATTTGAAATGTGAGGTCGTTTTTTTACTCTTGAATAATCGGCAAAAATTTAACATTTCCGCTACTTTTTAGCTCAGTTTCAAGCCATTTCCAATGCTAAAACCAATCAAAATCATCTCTATTTTTGTAATATGTCTTCCATTCTATCAAATGAGACCAAGAAATCGCAAATGCAACTATAAAAAACATACGAAAAAACACTGCAAAGTTGCTGTTTTAATCAAAAAATCATGATTTCATTTTTTTTCTCTCATTATACACAGTGTGCTGCAGGATCTGTTTTTATGTGGTGCACACATACCACATAGATGTATTCTCTCATATCTAGGCCGAAATGTACCACTCACAGTTTATCAGAGTGAGCTGAGCTCATGGCGTAGATCTACGGTTTGGACCCTGAACGTAAAGCCGTAGATCTACGGGACGGACCCTGAAAGGGTTAAATGAATGGAAGATTTCCTGCTTCAGAGCAAAATGAGAAACTGTAACAAAAAGGCTGCCCTCTTGTGGCAATATGTAAACAGGAGTTACTTGAGAAAATTATGGCACATGTAAGTGAATATATACACAAATATGGTATGGTACTGCTGTAAGGTATCAGAATTTCTGAACATAATCAAGAAAGCCAGATTCTTATGTTGCTTAACAAAATAATGAAACACTCATTTAAAATTTTACACTTTGTAAATACTCACAGTGGTTCCATTAAAAAGATCATCTGACCATTCCCATTCCAATTCTTCTCCTTCCTCATAATCTATCAGTTCAGCAGAGAACCATATAGGCGTATCAAGGACGACAGGGCCAGTATTATTTAGTACAAGATTTTCATCTGAAAGTAAAAAATATTACTGTATATACTGTACTCAAGTACAGGTCTATTTTTAAAGACCTAATTTTAAAGTATGGTACGAAAGAGTCAAATCATTCATGAATAAAATATTTAAGTGATTTTAACCGATGCATGTAGTGTCCCTACTTCACAACAGATTCCTTCTTTGAAGGTGTCTTGAGGGCAAAACAACATTCAATATTCATATTCTACTTAATATAAAAAATTATCTAACTTAGATTTATTATATTTCACGCACAACATGATATACAGGAGGCCCCAGTTATACAGAAGGTTAGGTGCCAGGCTACTGCTGTGAAGTGAAACATAGCCTTTTTTTCACTTTTAAATGCATATAAAAGCCTGATAACATATTGTACTTACACTAACATATATTAAGTGAGCAACAGAGCTAGGCCTAAAAGATGCATATACAGTGCACATATTACTTATCTTAAAATATTTTCACCCTTAGCTATTTGTGAATGGTGAATATATTTGTTGTAGGAAGTCCGAATAAATGAAGAATGGGTATAATTGAAAACCGCTGCATTAGCAAAATGCCATAAAGAGAAGTGCTGTAAAGCAGGACTTACCTGTACCTGATTTAGAGATCTCTTCTACTCTACCAGTCCAGCCTCTGACCAAGCTTCCTTGCTGAGTGTCTGTTCAACCAAGCTGTGGCTGTTAGTGGTCTGGAAGCACACAGATGATCTGGCACTTGACAGAGGTAGTGGTCCAGTTTCCTCTTTAAAAATTCTTACATCTGTATCTGATATCTGCTGGTAGCAGGTTAAACAGTCTAGGGGCACCGATGCTGACACGGTGTTCTCTTTTGGTCTATGATGTACTCTGCTTTTTACTGGATTTACAAAACAGTAAATTATACTTCTGAACTATTTTAGTAAGTTGTTACAATAATGTGTAGATCTGAGACCTGACCCTTTAACAATTTCTGGGTATATGTAATAGCTCTTAGCTTATATATAAAGATAGGAACTCTTAACCTCAGTAAAACCACTGTATAAATAAAATAAATAAATGAGATGAGATGAGATGAGATAGAGAGATAGAGAGTGGTGACAATAAGGCAGGAGGAGGTGCATTTCCTTCTTAAATCGCTTGACCAAGAAAAGGCTGTTGGCCCAGACAAGTTGAGCCCAAGATTGCTGAGAAGATGTGCAGACCAGCTAGCAGCACCTCCAACTTGCATCTTTCAGCACTGTCTAGTACAGTGTAAATGGCCCTCTCTATGGAAAGAGGCAAATGCAGTCCCTGTTCACAAAAAGAAGAGCAGAGCAGAAATCAGCAACTACAGACCAATGTCACTCCTGTCAATCACTGGTAAGATCCTTGAGACAATAATCTCAAGACAAATGACAGTTTTTTGACTATCACTCACTACTTTGTGATCGTCAATATGGCTTCAGGAAAGGTTACTCTGTTGCTGATCTGTTGTTAAACCTCTCCACTAAGTGGCACCAGTCACTGGATGAATCCAAAGTCAGCTGTGTGGTAGCACTGGCCATTGCTGGCGCTTTCGACCGGGTGTGGCACCAGGGCCTCTTAGCAAAACTTCAAGCACTGGGAATTGCAGGCTCTACGCTATGTCTCCTCAGTGATTACTTCATGGTAGATCTCTAAGTGTAGTTCTTAATGGAACGGAATCAGCAAGACATCCTATTGGGGCAAGTGTTCCACAAGGAAGTGTGCTGGGACCATTGTTATGGAATGTCTACTTCAACGACCTTCTTCATCTCATCCCAGAATCACATGCATATGCAGACGACTGAACACTGACATTCACTTATCCAAGAGAAGAAATGCCAGCTGCTTTAAGCTACATCAATCACCAGCCGAGAGCTATATCAGCTTGGGGAAATAGATGGCAAGTAACATTTGCACCTGAGAAAATGCAAATGATGATCGTCTCTAGGCACCATGATGGTAATGCTGGTGCAGTAGTAAGGATGAATGGGAGGGTGTTGGCACCTGGAGAAGAAGTTGATATCCTTGGGGTGAAATTTGACTCCAAACTAACCATGAAGAACCATGTTGTAAATCTTGCAAACAAGGGAGCCAGGAAGCTTACAGCACTTCGCCGTATCTTGCATCTACTTGACAGTAGGGGTTGCAAGATTCTGTACAAGGCACAAGTACGCTCACACCTTGAGTATGCTCCACTTTCTTGGTTTGCCTGCCCCCCCTCTCATCTGCGATTGCTTGACAGAGTAGAGAACAGAGCAAGACGTCTCATCTCTCACCTGGACCCATCCTGGATAGATCTGTCATTTCAGCAGAGCCTTCAACATAGGAGGGATGTGGGTGGCCTTACTGTTATGTACAAGGCCAATATTGTCAAAGTACCACACTTGGATCCACTTCGAGGACAGCGTGAAACAAGCTTTTATGCCACAAGACAGGTAGAAAGCAGCAACTTCACTCTGGCTGTACCCTTCTCCAGAACATCACTCCATCTGAGATCATATATACCCAGGATAACTCGAGTATGGAACACATTCATACAGCATACTGATGTCAACAAGATAAAGTCAGTTGATCAAATGAAAATGCTGGCCCACAGATGGCTCCAATTTCATCCTGTTCCCTACTTGTATGTCTCATAACAATAAAAATGCTTTCAAATGAGCTGATGTAGGTAACAGCTCTTAGCTTGCCAATAAAGTTAGGAATCCTTAACCTGTAAATAGCTTGTCAATAAAGCTAGGGATCCTTAACCTTGTCAAACCCTGTGTAAAAGAGAGAGACAGAGACAGACAGAGACAGAGACAGAGAGACAGAGACAGAGACAGAGAGAGACAGAGACAGAGAGAGGGAGAGAGAGAGACAGAGAGACAGAGAGAGACAGAGACAAAAAATCCCTTCATAAATGAGATGAGAGCCTGTCCCCCTCTCATTTTCGACTGCTTTGACAGAGTGGAGAACAGAGCAAGACGTCTCATCTCTCGCCTGGACCCATCCTGGATAGATCTGTCATTTCAGCAGAGCCTTCAACACAGGAGGGATGTGGGTGGCCTTACTGTTATGTACAACACCAATATTGTCAAAGTACCACACTTGGATCCACTTCGAGGACAGCGTGAAACAAGTTTTTATGCCACAAGACGGGCAGAAAGCAGCAACTTCACTCTGGCTGTACCCTTCTCCAGAACATCACTCCATCTGAGATCATATATACCCAGGATGACTTGAGTATGGAACACATTTGTACAGCATAATGATGTCAACGAGATAACGTCAGTTGATCAAATGAAAATGCTGGCCCACAGATGGCTCCAACTTCATCCTGTTCCCGACTTGTATGTCTCATAACAATAAAAATGCTTTCAAATGAGCTGATGTAGGTAACAGCTCTTAGCTTGTCAATAAAGTTAGGAATCCTTAACCTGTAAATAGCTTGTCAATAAAACTAGGGATCCATAACCTTGTCAAACAGTGAGAGAAAGAGAGAGAGAAAGAGAGAGAGCAGGCATCAGGCAGAGTGGGCTCCAAAACCTGGTGGTCCTTGGTCAAGGACAGACAAGATTATTTGCCTGATGAACTTATTCCACCTCTAAATCAACAGGATGGGGCTATCTCTACTTGCAGGCAGGAGAAAGCTGACCTCTTTGCTGAACACTCTGCTGCCAAGATGCAAGTTCCTGATCCAGCAAGGGACCTTCCTTGGCTAGCTGCAAGAACTGTGTCAAAGTAGTCAATGGTGACAATAAGGCAGGAGGAGGTGTATCTTCTTAAATCGCTGGACCAAGAAATGGCTGTGGACCCAGACAAGTTGAACCCAGGATTGCTGAGTAGATGTGCAGACCAGCTAGCAGCACCTCTAATTTGCATCTATCAGCATTACCTAGCACAGTGTAAATGGCCTACTCTGTGGTAAGAAGCAAATGTAGTCCCTGTTCACAAAAAGAAGAGCAGAGCAGAAATCATTAAATACAGACCAGTGTCACTCCTGTCAAGATCCTTGAGACAATAATCACACAGCAGATGACAGAGTTTTCCAACTATCACTCTGCGACCGTCAGTATGGCTTCAGAAAAGGTTACTCTGCTGCTGATCTCATGTTAAACCTCTCCATTAACCCTGTCAGGGTCCAAGGCCAAAATCAGAAGGGGTGCCCCAGTGTCCAAGAAATTTTGAAAAAAAAAAAAATAATTATTTTTTCTTACAGAATTTAAGGGTATATTTTTGTGAAGGCAATAAAACAAAAAAAAATTTCTGATCAGTACTTACCGATATACAGTGGCGAGAAGCTGACCGAAAATGACCGGGTGGCGGCAACATCGACGATTTCCACAACCACGCATTTCTTTATTTTATGTTTTTTAAAGTTTTTTCTTTTCTATTTTTTTTCTTTTCCTACTAACATTTGGGGCCTGAGAGACCAATACTGTATATAATGTATATATATAAACTCACTGTATTGAACACAATAACTGCACTAAAGTTATTATCATAATATTGTTTACCACTTATTACAATAAACATGCACAAATCTTGTATAATACTAATGTTCTATCATATATTTACATATGTACAATCACTGGACATGTTTTTAGAACTGCTGCAGCTTGTGGAACTCCTTGAAACAAGGCACCATGCACAGAGGTACCTTACATTCCTCGCACATAAACCGAGTGTCTTTGCGTCTTTGTTGCCGTCGCTTTGTTTGTGCACAGACAACACATCTCTTCTGAGTGAATTTCTTCTTAGTTGCAGGAAGCTGTATTATGAAGTGATCACCTTCCCTCCTCAAACGCTTGGGTATATCCTGAGGAGTTCGAGGACGGTTTTGTATAGCAGGTGTTGTTACCTGGTATTTCATTATGAGTTATCTGACAACAGACAAACAAAATTCACCATACAGTGGTCTGTTGCCAGTCTTCACTTGGTACATATTATATGCATTGAGCATTGAAATGTCCATGAGATGGAAGAAAAGTTTCATATACCACTTGTAACTCTTACGAACACAATCAACA